ACTCACAGCGACCCCCATTGGGTTTCCAAGGTGGTAAACCTTTACCCAAGTAGATTGCCCCATCTTCCTTATGTGGAGTGGCTGGTGAGTGTGAAAGACCAACCTTCTAATTAGCAGCCAAATGCCTTAGGCACTGCACCACCAGAACTCCTTGGAGGTGGAAACAGAAGGGAAGAAATTGGCCAGGAAGACAAAGTGTGGTAGCCTAGGCAGCAGGGGTGATAAAAGTAGAAGTAGGAAAGCAAGTAACATATGTAGATATCTTAGTTTAGTCTCCGCACAGAGGAAGGAGATGGGACGTGACCCAGCTAGCTGTGCCTCACAGCACCTGAGGATGTTTCAGGTCTTCTCACCTGTGTGGAAAGAGCAACCCGTGCTTGTGGTTGCTGTTATGTGCCATTGAGTCAGACACGACTCATAGCGACCCCTCCTTGGATTTCCGAGGCAGTATCACTACAGAAGTAGATTGCCCAACCTTCCTTCTGAAGAGTGGCTGGTAGGTTTGAACCGCCATCCTTCTGGTTAGCAGTCAAGTGCCTTAGGCACTATGGTACCAGAGGGGCTCTCACTGCTCTAGGATTACATTGTTGGAAGATGTCACATTTCTGAGAGCTTTTTTTAATCTTTGAATAGGTGCTTATATCCACCATTTAATACAACAGCATATGATGAATTAGAAAATGGCTCTTCCAATTGGAAAAGAGTTAAAGGTTAACAGGTTCATGAATCACAGCATTGCAAATGAGGGCACTGCTCTACACTGAACATATCAAAAAGCTGTATTTTAAAAGGTCACCTAAATTCATCTGCTATTACAAAAAGCACTGGTATGAAGGTGAATACGGCAATCTGGTAGCACAGTGGTTACACACTTGGCAGCTAACTGAAAGAGCAGCAGTTTGAACCCAAAGGCAGTCTGCTACTGTAAAGATTACAGCCTTGGAAATCCTATGGGGCAGTTTTACTCTGTCTTATAGCATCACTACAAGTCAGAATTGCCTTGATGGCAACAGGTTTTGGTTTACGAAGGTGAGTGCTCAAAACTCTTGGACCTTGATGGTTCAAACTTCTCCCCTTTACACTTCCCAGCTTGGGTCACCAGTTGCTGTGGAGCTGACTCCATAGAGCTGTGTGTCAGAGTACAAATGTGCTCCACAATGTTTTTAATGGATAATTTTTTCAGAAGTAGATCCTCAGGCTTGGCTTCTGAGGTACCTCTGGGTAGACTCGAACCTCTCACTTTCTGGTTAGTAGCCAAATGTGTTAACTGTTTGCAACATGCAGGGACAAATGCCTCTGTATTTACAAAACAGAATAAAATACTTTTGTCTTTTTAAATTTTGCAAAGCATACAGCAAATGAACTTAATTTAATATATGTTCAACTCCTAACTAGGCATAATGTTTTCTAGACTAACACTGAATAATTAAAACAGAAAGAGAGAGAATGTCTGTGGAAAACAAACTAAGTAAAGAGATGCACACACACACAATATCTACCTATGTATACATACAGATTTGCTACACTGAACACATAAAAAAGTTGTGTTTTAAAAGGTCACCAAATTAATCTATTACAATATATCATATATCACATATCTATATCTACTTCTGTGAAGACATGCCTCGGAAACCCAAGGAGGGGTTGTTATGAGTTGAGTGGAGTCCATGGCAGTGAGTTTTAGTTACACACACACACACACACACATACACATACATAAAATCTACATATATAATTTTCTCCCCTTACACACTCATTCCTGGGTTGAAATGTAAATGTAACGCCATCCCTACATCATGAATCCTTTAAGTCCGTTTATGTGAAACACTCAAATGCTTCTAGGTGCCTCATTTTCTGGAGTAGCCAGGGCTCAACCATGGACTCACTGTTAAATATATTTGACTTCAAAGTGGGTAGTCATAGTAAGGCTGTCAGCACTCCCTAAGGTATTTTTTCTTCTTCTTTCTATTTCTCTTCTAGTCTCAAAATAGCACAAACACACATAGAAAGAAAGCTGCTGCTTGGTAAATTGGGCACTTTTGGGTAGACTGCTCTAGTTGGGGGAGAAAAGGCAAAGGGGTGGTGATGTGGGCTATTTTCACAACACTGCCTTAAATATGTTTGCTATAGCTCTAGGAGTTGGAGGTATAACTGTAAGTAGCAGCTGGTAACAGTGGAAATGGCCTCTTTTCTCCAACACTAAAAAGAAGTCATCACTCATCTATCCTGTCCATCCATAAGATGAATTCTAAAGTTAGGATGGAAAAGGAAGGCATTAAAAATATTTGAGTATGGCACGCAAGTAGCTCCTCCTTATATAGTTCATGAGAAGTTAGCATGAATTTCAAACCAAGGAGGAAAAAGCACCAAAAAATATGAACACACACATGAAAAAGCTCTTGAAGAAAACTGAGCAAAGTCAAATGTTGGCATCCTTTGGCAAATAAAGAGGGGATGTGGGTCCTAGGAATAGGAAAATTCACTTTGCACTTGATTTAGTTTTTAAAAGAAAATATCTAAATAATAAGAATGGTTCATGAGTTATTTTAATTTTTATAAAAATCAATTTTAAAATAAAGGCATGCTAGAAAGTTTTATGAGATTTAAAAGTTACAAGCATAAATACATAGCAGATTCCAAACCAAACTTACTGCCATTGAGTTGGTCCTGACTCATAGCAACCCCCCCTTGGGTTTCTGAAGCAGTATCTCTACAGAAGTAGATTGCTCAATCTTCCTTCCGAGGAGTGGCTGGTGGGTTTGAACTGCCAGCTTTATGGTTAGCAGTCAAATGCCTTAGGCACTGGGCTACCAGGCCCTGATACAGCAGATTATATACTCAAATATGGAGAATAAGGCACATCAGAAGCTGTCTTCTTTCATATTGCATTGAAACATCCTGAATATTTTAAGGACATTATAATCTTCAAAATTTTACACCAAAGCAGTACTCATTATGAGTACTGCACACATTTTTGCTATTCTTCACCACTGTCATTTAACAAAGCTTTTGAATTCAAAAGAAAAGGTTAATTTTTAAAAAAAATCTTGAAGTATGATCAAGAATTCTAAACTAAAAAGATAACACTACCTTATATAAGCAAAAAAACCAAACTCACTGCTGCGGAGTCGATATCAACTCACAGCAACCCCTCTTTGGGTTTCCGAGGTGGTATGTACAGAAGTAGATTGCCCAGTCTTCCTTTTGAGGAATGGCTGGTGGGACTGAACCACCAGCCTTCTGGTTAGCAGTCAAATGCCTTAGGGACTGCGCCACCACAGCTCCCACTTTACTATATAGTTTTTAAAATTATTATACTTCTGAGAAATACATTAAGTTGGGTGCTGAGCAGGCAGATACCAGACACCATAATATTCACTGGGTGTGGAGGTTGCCTCCTAGTAGTATGGTACTAATAATTGAAATGAGAAATCTTTTAAAACTGTTTGGGCTCAGGTTTCTCAAACGAACAGGAAACATAGTTTTAAGAAGAAAAAAAGAGGCTGCATGAAGTACAAAGCAAAAGCAAACTTTTTAGAAAATGAAAAATGGCATGGAGATTATTCTGATCTTTATCTCCTCTGCATTATAGACTCATTGCTGCCACATGTTAAACACTTTGATGTGGACATTAGTGCACATCGCTTCAAGACACAAACCATGGTTTTACTAGGATATTTATCAGTTGACTCACCTTCTAGGTAACAAAGAAAAGGTAAAACTGGACTACCTCCAGGTCAATCCAGTGGGCCCTTATTGTTAGCCTGTGATGAGCCATCCCACAGTTCTGGCTCTTAAAAGGAATGGACTTGGTAGGGCTGCAATCTGCTTCAACCCCATCCCTACTTTTATAGTAAATTATTTGGGACAAATCACTTAATCATACTGATCCTCAACGGAAAAGCTTTAATCATATATAATCTCAGCACATGAACACAGAAAATACTCAACAATGTTAACCATTTCCTAGGGGATAGATAAGAAGGCAGAAAAGACAGTCTTGCAAGGTTTCTTGGCAGCGCAAAGTAGTTAAAAGATTTGCTTTGGTGCTTTTTTTTTTAATTAAATATCTCTTTACTCCTAAGAGAGAATATATCTTCCCTCAGCAGCTCAAGTAAATTTGTCTCCCTTTTCAGAACTCATAATGTGAAGTATTTAGCACTTTCTCTTGCTTTGTACAGTTACATTTTCATAGTATGAAATTTTGTTATTTTAACCAGATTACCACTCCTCCAATAGACTTCTTTTTATATATATTGCCTAGTCCAGGGCCTCGCTCACTGCAAGTAGCAATAAACATTTGTTGACTGATACAGCACCAAGTGGGGTGCACAGTGGGTGCAAGTGGGTGCTCCCAGTGACAGTGGTTTTAAAAGGCAGAGGCCTCTTCCCGCTAAATGATCCTGGGGAGGTGTCCTTCCAAAGCTACACATTTTCTTTTTGTCATCCCGCGCAACGAGATTTCTCTTCCCATTCTGGGGAATGGATCTGTCATATTTACAGGTATGGTGTGAGTACACGCAAAAAACCAAGTAGTACAACTGAGGCCACCGGGGCGGCGACGGCGGCGCAGCAGCCACACCCACTCGGCTGCGGCGGCGTCTCTAGCCCGCAGAAGGCGGGCCCGCCAGGTCTCTGGGCACCGCCCCCTCATCGACTTCTCTGGGGAAGGCTCCTACCCCGGGACTCTGGACACAGGCTGGGCAGGCCGGGTGGGGGCGGGCGAGCCGGCTGCTCGTAGCTCCCGCCCTTGCACGTGGGATGCTGCAGGGGATAAGCCCCTGGGAGGGGAGAGGGGGAGGCCAGGGCCCGAAGGAGCCTGCGGCCTGAGGACACAACGAGGTAAATAATCCGGCGCTGATACCGCGGCCGCCAACCCCCACCCCATGCCTCCCGGCTCCTAGGACCCAGCGAGAGGCGGAGCTCCGTGGGGGCCGAGCCGGCCCTTCCCTGCCGAGTCCTCTGCCCCACGAAAGTCCCCGTCCCCCGTCACCACTCACGGTGCTTGCCGCCGCCGCCGCTGCCGCCGCTCGGGTAGCTCAAAAGAAGGAAGGGCAGAGGGGAGCTCGGCGACGGCGGGGTCCTCCAGGCGCGCTGCGGCGGTGGGCGCGCTGCAAAGCCGGCGCCTCCATCGCTGGGGTAGAGCAGGAAGAAGGGGGCGGCTACCGGAGAGTCGGGCTCCGACTGCCCAGCGGGAGAGCCCAGCGGCGGTCGTGCCTCGCCCTCTCGGTCCGCGCCCCTGGCTGAAGCACAGCGCGGCTCCTCTGGCTGCCGCTCTCCGCCCCTCGCCTGTTCCTCGCTGGAACTTTCCGCGCCGGCGCTGGGCGGCGACGGGGTCTCAGCCATGCTCGGTGTTTCCTTAGCCGCCGCCTCCGACTCACTCCCGGGCCTGACCGGGGGAGCAGAGGTCACGCCGAGGAGCCGCCGCCCCGTCCCGTCCGCGGGGCCGCCGCCACCTTCTCGGCCACGGGCCCGCGTCTGAACTCCGCCGCTCAGTCCACAGCCCGCTTGCCCGGGGTTCGAGCCAGCTGGAGGGCCAGCCCCGCCCGACGGCGCGGCCTCCCAACCAGCAGCCTCCTCTGGATTGCCCCTCCCGCCCCGGCCCCCTGCTTGCGAATTGGCTCCCCTAGGGGGCAGTGTCCTCTTTTTCCCACTTCCCCACCTTCCGTTTCCCTCCCGCTGCCGATTCCTTCCTGATCCAAGGGAGAAGACCGTGCCCTGTGCCGCGTCCTTACCAGCCCCTGGCATGGCCATCTTAAACTGTCAGTTGTGTTTGTTTTGTATGTAATTGTCTAACTTCATCAATAGCATGAAAGCACAAAGATCTGGGTTGAAGAAAAGGCAAAAGCTAATTTTAAAAACGACACACCCCACCTCCGTGTATTAAACTACAATTTGCCTTTCACACATTGGAACTTCAACCGATGATTCACGGTTTTGATTCATGAGCTTTTTGTGTGAGAAACCAGAGGTAGTTGTCGTCTCTCCGCCACCTCTTTTGTTCTCTGTCATGTGCACGGTATAAAAATCTTGTATTTGCTTTCACTTCAACTCCCTGGTTTTCCAGTGCTCCGGGTGTGCATGAGTGCATTTTAAGCCAAACAACTTATAAGACAAGTGTCTGCTGAAGGTAAGCAGTTTTCACTTTCATCGGTGTTTATGCCTTGCTAGTAATTGGCCACTGTTGCTTTATTTTGAATATTTGAATCAATGATTACTGATCCGGTAATTCCCTTAACGAAACATTCCTATCTTTAAGACAATTTCCAGTTATTATTGCTGTTTTTACAGGTATTCTGGTGGCACGGTGCCTAAGCATTTGACTGCTAACCAGAAGGTTGGCTGTTCAAACCCACCACCTGCTCTGTGGAAGGAAGATGGGGCAATGTACTTCTGTAAAGATTTACCACCTCAGAAACCCAATGGTGGTCGCTGTGTGGTGGAATCAACTGGATGGCAGTTTTTTTGTTTGTTTGTTGTTATTCTTTACCCTGGTTCTGTGAACGTGACTCCATACTTCCTACCCTTGTGTTCAGGTTGCAAAATGCTGGCAAAGAATCCACATTAACTCAATTAAAAATCACTCAATTAAAAATCAGTTTGCCCATCTGCTTTAGACTCTTTCTATGCACTTTCTGTAGAGGAAGTTACAGTTAATGGAAAGGAAAATAAAACGTTTTTTATTGTTGTCTTTATTCTCTGTAAATTACTTGTGAAGTAACCACCAGAAGTTACCAGGAAATGTCTAATATTATCCTTCACCAAGTCTTTTAACACAAGAAATATTAAAATGGGAGACACTAAGCGGTTTCTGGTATTTTCAGTTTCTGACATTTCACCGACCTGTTGATCCCAGCCTTAGTGCTTACTCCAGTTATTTATCCTCTCTGAGCCTGATTTCCTCTTCTGTAAAATGAAGATCATATTACTTTCAGAGATATTATGAAGGTTAAATAAATATAAGTAACACCTTTACAACAGGGTCTGGCATAGAGTCAATCAGTTACTTAATTTTTATTAGCTATTGTATATGGCAAAATAGCTAGCATGTAACTTTAATAAAAACAAATTGAGGAAAAAAAAATTTTGAACTGTCTTCAGCATTTGGAGGTTTGTTGGGTCTTTTCATTTCAGTCTTGGTGAAGGTGTGTTGGTAAAAACATATGTATGTTTTTACTTGCCTTTTAAGAATTGCAAACTGTATTCTACCTTGAAGAGAAAACCTACAAATTTCCAGATATATGATTTTTCTCACAACTGGACCAATAAGTAACATCATGATAAATGGAGAAAATATTGAAGTTGTCAAGGATTCATTTCATTTGGATTCACAATCAGTGCACATGGAAGCAGCGGTCAAGCAATCAAATGACATACTGCACTAGGCAAATGTGCTGTAAAAGGCGTCTTTACGGTGTTAAAAAAGAGATGCACCTGACCCAAGCCAAGGTATTTTCAATTGCCTCGTGTGCATGCAGAAGCTGGAAGACCAAATGATTGATGCCTTTGAATTATGGTGTTGGTGAAGAATATTAAATACGGTGCTGGAAGAACTGCCAGAAGAATGAACAAATCTGTCTTGGAAGAAGTATAGCCAAGATGCTATTTAGAAACGAGGATAGGAGACTTTATCCCACATACTTTGGACATGTTATCAGGAGGGACCAATCTCTGGAGAGGGACATCATGCTTGATAAAGTAGAGGATCAGGGAAAAAGAGAAAAGTCCTCGACAAGGTAGATTGACACAGTGGTTGCAAGAGTGGGCTCAAACATAGCAATAGTTGTGAGGAGGTGCAGCACCAGGCAATATTTTGGGAAAACAGAACAACTCGTTGGCACTAAGAGCAACAACAAATCCTGTGGTTGTAACTCCTGCTCGTAATGGATCTCTTACTATGTTTTTGCATGCAGACATTTCTAAGGATGATTATATTTCTGTCAGGTTTCTTCACAGAGATGTTTTACAAGAATATATACTTATCCCATTGTAGGTAGAGGAAACGAGAGTGGTAGGGCCAATATCACACTTCTTACAAATTATTCTCAAGAAAGGACTATAATCAGCCAAAGAACTCACCAAGTCAACAACGTATGAAATGCTGTATAGTCTAAATTGCCACTTTTCTCATTTCTTGTTAGTCAAGATACTTATACGAATATAAATATTGACGGCTCTGGAATCTTGTAGTGTATTGGCTCTTTTATGCCTCTCCACTTTTAAAAACAATTCTACTCATGCTTTATGTCATTAAGTGGTAGTGAAATGAGTACAGTAAATCAGCTGAAATAGGAATCCTTTAAAATTTACAGACAAGGCTATTTATGAGCTTTCCCCTTAAAGGTGGATGGTACTCCAAGTTCCTAGTTTCTTATGCTTTCAGTGTTTGGATCAATAAGTTAATCACAGCTCTGCACAATATCTAATGACATAAAAGGCTGATTCAGCTGCTACACACATTTGGGGAAGCCAAGATTATAAACAGGCTTAAACATGTTACTCCTTCTTGAAAATGCATGGAGCATTGTGTTAGACTGGGTTCTTTAGAGAAACAAAACCAATAAAGCTTATATATATGAGAGAGAAAGGGAAATTTATCTTGGGAAAATGGCTCACACACTTAGAAAAAGCTGGCAAGTCCATGCTGGCAGCTGGTGGTAGTTACTCCCCATGATGACACTGGCAGTCAACTCCAAGGCGGGATCTACCACAGGCAGCTGAGTAGCTACCTTTGGGATGTGGTCTGCTTCCCGTATATAAGAAGCAGCTTTGGGAATGGTCTTGAGCTTATGGCACGCTTGGATCTTGCATGTAGCTGTGTCGTTGTTCAGCAGCCTGTCATGCTCTGCCAACCTGGAGACTTAAAATGGACTTGAATTAATGGTCTGCTGTGTGGTTTGGTAACATCGGGACTGTTCCTTTTTACTTGTCAACCTTGGCCTTGGCAGCCTCAGCAACCAGCAGCTGAGTGAAAAAAAGCCACTAGCTTTTTTTCAGTGGGCTGGGAGCTGGAGGCAGAGCTGAAGCCCAAGGTAGAGGGGCTTTCACCCAGCCCCTAGAGCTTGGCACTTTGAACTTGGAATTAAAACCTCCAGTAAGAATAAACTCCTGTTTGTTAAGGCCATCCATTTGTGGTATATTTTTGCAGAGCTGCACTTGTTGTTGTTGTGTGCCGTCAAGTCGGCCCCGACTCATAGCGACCCCTCCTTGGGTTTCCGAGGCAGTATCACTACGGAAGTAGGATTGCCCAACCTTCCTTCCAAGGAGTGGCTGGTGGGTTTGAACCGCCAGCCTTCTGGTTAGCAGTCAAGTGCTTTAGCCACTATGCTACCAGAGCTCCTAGAGCTGCACTAGGTAACCTGAATAAGAATCTGCCCATGCTGTTGTAATGAAATCCAAGCACAATAATTCAGAATAAAGCTTTATTAATTTTCTTGTGAAATAAAATAGCAGATGCGTTTTAACTCTTATCTACATGTTAATTTCAGCTATCCATGTTTGCTATGAAATGCTTTGATAATCTTAAGGATGGATACTTTGCTATGAAATGCTTTGATAATCTTAAGGATGGACACTTAGAATACATCACAAAACTTTATTTAGAGGTCAGAGTTATGGATGATAATGTACTTGTAGCATAATTTCTTAGGAGCTCTGGTAGCATAGTGCCTATGGCACTATACTGCTAACCAGAAGGCTGGTGGTTCAAACTCACCAGCTGCTCCTCAGAAGGAAAGTTGGGCAATCTACTCTTGTAGTGATACTGCCTCGGAAACCCAAGGAGGGGTTGCTATGAGTCAGGTCTGACTCAACAGCACTTAACAACAACAAACATAATTTCTTAGGACTGTGATCAGAGAAAGATACTTGGGAAGGGTGGATATTCTTTTCAGTATAGTATGTATGCTCATGATTCTAAAATAATGTTTTTATTTTTATTTTTTTTTTTGAGCCCACATTGTGTAGTACTTGGGAAAAGTCTTACATGAAAACAAGACAATTTCTTAAGACTTCATGTTAAGATGATTTAAATGCAGGTATTTAGATTAAATACTGATGAAGATCAAAGACTTCTGTATGGATTATAAGTCAACATAAAACAAAAAAATCTTCAAAACTGGACCAATAAGTAACACCACAATGAAGTTGTCAAAGATTTCATTTTACTTGGATCCACAGTCAATGCCCATGAAAACAGCAGTGAAGAAATCAAATGACATATTGCATTGGGCAGATGTGCTACAAAAGATCTCTTTAAAGTTTTTAAAAATAAAGATGTCACTTTGAAGACTAAGGTGAGCCTGACCCAAACTATGGTATTTTCAATCACCTCATGTGCATGTAAA